GAAAACACACATTAAAAATTAAGTACCACTTGTATTAACTAATATTTATCTTTTATAGCTTTATATCTTATGTGTTTACGTGAACATGCTTAATACATAAATACACACATACAATTTATTGTTTTTGTTTTGTCTATTTAAGTGCAAAGCTACATAATGGGTCATCTTCTCTACTTCGGGAATCGAACCTTGGATTTTAAGGTCGTAAATCCGTAAAATTACCATTTTCCACCAAAGGGGACCACAATTCATTTACTTGGCTTTTTTTTTTTTATCTTAAGATCAGTTAGGCCTACTTATATTTCTTCAAATACACAAACATTGATCTATGGAAATTGATACATGTATAATTAACAAATACAAAATCCGTTCTAGCGAACACAAGAACTATTGTACAATGAGGGAACGTTCCGTCTAGATAACTGAAACTGATTTTTTAGAAGTTGGATTATACCTATAAATGAAGAAGAAAATTCTATCAATGAAAATGTTTTTCCTGTGTTTTTATTTATTAGTCCTTTGAATTTTCAACATGGCTCAGTAGATACCTCTTTTAAATGGTTATCTGCAATAAAGTGAGACCGATTAGACTTGCATGTAGACACGAGGAACAAAGACAGGTAAGAAAAACCCAAAAGTATTCGTTTGTGTGTGTTGCAGATACTTCGTGTAAAATTACACAAGGCTTATTTGTGCTAGCCGTACCTAACTTTGAACTGATACACTAGAAAGAAGGCAACTAGTTAACATCTCTCACAGACAACTCTTGGTTTCCTGTAGTCGAATTGTGAGATTTGGTCGTCACTCCTATAACGCACCTAAGGCCCTGATTTTGCGGCAACAGCCTTCGGATCCACAATCCATCACATCTATCTCTATAGGCCACGTCCATCCTGTTCACCTGTTATAACTGAACTTCAATGATGGGACTCAGCTGGGACATAATACCACACAATTAGATTTCAATTCGTACATTAATAAAACTAAAAGCCGAATTATCATCATTATTATTATAGCTAAATATAATTACCATACTTCTGTCTGAGACATCTAGTCTATTAAATGTCCATTCACGCAATTTAATTTTATGAACAAAATTAACAAACTATAGTTTTGGATATGATTCTATTACTGGAAATATGGATTTGTTTGGTTGATAATTGATATAAAATGCAAATTCTTTAGTTTCGCCTGGTGGATTTTCTAAGCATTTGTGATGGAAATGAGGCACAATAACAAATGCTGCAATGAAGCTTGTGGCCATCACACTCGACCGCACGTGCCCTTAATCTCATCAACCCGAGTGAAAGTTATTCTTTAAGTTCATCTATTTCAACATCACTTGTTTTGTAGCTAAAAAATTAGAGCACTCCTTTACTGTAGGGGCTTGAAAATAAAATAAACTTTAGGTTATCGTCCTACGAATTCAAATAGAAGACTGATCCCAAATGTTATATAAACAACTTACGAGTATTGTATAGGGTCTTTAACCCTCATGGGCTTTAAATTAGGGCACACAGAGTAAGTAAAGGAAGTATTGGAATAGCTGCGGGCGCAATTGCCACTTTTTAAAACCAGGTTTCCATTTCAAATGTGAAATCTAGATCGTTTGTTTAAAAACAAGAACGAAGAATTCTTGCTGTCAGTGCATACCCGTGTGACAACGTAATTATCAAAACATTTGGGAACATTATTCTTTAACAGCGAGCTTATCTGTGTATGCACCCTACAGGGATCAAACCTTGAATTTTATCATCATAAGCCATCAAACTTATCGTTGAACCACCGCAACTAAAGTGAAATAGAGCTTATATGTACTTACGCTGTGATTTTTTTTTAACTTTGATGATATGTTTCTCTGATGTCCAAACCGAATGGGTAGAAAGATTGGAACTTCTGACATAAACTTGAAGTTGGTATTAGAGAAAATACGCTGGTGTAGGAGAAGTAAACTGTGTATTAAGTGTAATATATAACGTTAATGGTAAGTTTTAGCAGATAAAGATTAACAACATTATAAATGCTCCAAAATCGGACCCTTATGCTAAACCGAACCATACCACAGTTTTCTATTAAAATGTACAGTGTTTAGACAAAAACAGTAGAGAAAACACCAAGTGTTAGTAACGTGTGATTCTATCTTTAGATGTTAGAACTGCCTCAGTTCTTTACAGTAGGACATTTGCAAGTTCATGAAAGGCATGCCGATGAAATAGGTTTCATACCTCGAGGCCCCAATTTAACAAAACACGTGGTGGTCTCGTTCACTCGTGTTCTTCTTCCTATCACTACTACATTTACCAGATGACACTTATGGGATAATCATCTTGCTGTAATAACCTTTGAACTTTGGGAATGTGACTCTTGAAGACCCAAGAAGCTGTGCAATTTAGGTCACTAAAGCACCTATTAATCGGGCTCCTACAATCTGACCTCTTTGAAAGTCAATTAAGTCACACTTCTTTCCCGTGTTATATGACAACTAAAGTGAAATAGAGCTTATATAGCTTAAACAATACAGATCATCTGTCTAAAAAGTCCTTGGAATAAGAAATGAAGCAGTCAGACTAAGAGCTATCTGATCCGTTTAACATCTGGGGAAGAAAAGGCACTTCTATGCCCTGTCCAATCGTGTACACCTTTGTAATATGTTTCACATATGTACTCTCTATTCCTCTCTAACATATATTTATGTATATGTATTTTTATTATGAAGCCATGTGCTAATACATCGTTCTTGTTCCGTCATAAACCACGAACTCTCTAGTGATCTGCCAGTATAAAAAAAAAAAATAAACTGAAATTAATTAATTGTTCTTGTTTTGGTTTTTACACATTGTAACTATATTATGAGTTTCTGAACCGTTAAATCTTGTATAAGAGTACATTATGATTATCCGTTTGCTGTTAATAGTAATTCGAAATCTGTATTCTGCTTTCTAAAGTTTGTGTAAAACTCGAACATTGACTACATTATCTATTTTTAAGGCAAAGTTAGTGTGTTAAAAAATAAATAGGTCTTTCCACACTAACCTTGTTTAAACTAAACCAAGGCCATCGCTAAAACTCGAGCCCTCCTCTTTTTTGGGCTATGTTTTTTGTTTTATTTTTTACCCCCTCTGCGTTTTTGAAAAGGAAAGGGTATTTTGTCGATTGAAGGGCGCAGAGCAACGACCTCTCGCGGCTGGCCTTGGTTATAAATCCCCGGGCCCGGCTTAGCCCGAATTGTTTCTTATACTTATTCCCAGCGCGCGGAGCAGACTGCAGAGTTTTTATACGAAAGTGTTTATACCGCTGTATACTTTAACAAGCCTACTGTTAATGTCTCTTGATGTTCAGATAATATAGTTCTAAAAGTTAAACTACTTTTTAACGCTGGACTTTCTGTGACGTGCGTTGTCGCACGACTTTATCTTTGATAAATATATATATCATAAAATGGAAGTGGCATAAAAATCCTAAGAAAACTGCCTATCAACTTTAATGGCTTCGCTTCCACTTCACGTAAACACGTGCTGTTTCATTGCATGTAAAAAATATTGTTCGTTGAAAAATAGCTAATAAAACAAAGTTTATTCGAAAATTATATATTTAGATACAAATTATAAAGAGCTAAGGTTTTGACAAATGGTATATACAATAAACAGATTATATATTCAAAAATAACGTTTTGGCATATATGTTTAAACTGTTAATTCTGTGAACTGCTTGTTTATAAACAAATAAATAAAAATGTGGGGGGAGGACCAAGAAAACTAGTTGTATGGTGCTTATAAAACTCTCACTAGTTTGTACATAATAAAACTTTTACGTTAAATGTAACACTGTAATTTCTTAAATAAAATGAGAATGTGTCTAAAACATACGTTCGAATTCTTGTGGTGCAATGATATATATATATTCACGTGCAAAAAAAATAAATAAATCCTAAAGCACTTGTAAGGCCAGTAATATCAAAGTTCAAAGGTTTGAGCTTTTCATTGTTTTAAGGCAGTGAGAAAATGACATGTTAGCTAATGAATTAATAGTTACTTAAGTTTCAAATGTTTGTATGGTTCTTAGGTTCTGGTCATTGACTTTAAAATAAAAATGGTATTTAGAGAGTTGTACTTCACAATCATTCTCTGCAGACTCTTTAAAACATCTTCATCGAGTTTTTTTGTAAACAAAAAAGACAGTGAGAGTAAATGTTGCTGACGCAATTAAAACCTAATAAAACTTTTGCGGAGTTCATACATCCTTGTGTCGTTCGTTGACACCGGAGAGAAACAAGAATCAGGTATTGATCAACGCCTTCCAGTTTATCAACACTAACTGAAAAGATCATTTCGAGCAAAGCCTAGAGAAAGATGGCGGGGTGAACGGCTGCCGACATCCACAACGCAATAACCAACAAAACTGACTCAGCCTTCAAACGTTGCGAGTATCGGTCACTGAACCCTCGGGTCGAAATTCTGGGCGGAGTTATAAGAAGTTAGCCAATAAGCTTGCGCGTTACAATACGTATTGTATTGTTTCGAGCTGGCTGAGTTACTGTTCGCCTGTCGCTCATCGTCGATTTGAGCACCGACAAAAATAAGAATAATAAAAAAAATAAAAATCTCAAAGTTGTACTGTTGAACTTGTATGACGTCGTACGTCTGCAGCAGCGTGAGTGCCCTGCTTTCTCCACAGACTGTCTGTCATTCACGAGCGATCGTGCATTGCAGCTGGCTCTACCGCTTCTCTTCGCAGTCGACCGTGGAGCTTGGCGAGCGCTCTACCTCATTAACACCCCTGCACTTTAAACAAGCTGTTGGATCACTTTCACTGTCATTCGGAACCTTGAAACCAAACCGGTAGCTTGGACCAGCGCTCTACCTTAGTTTACCTAGGACCCGTTTTACTAGTGTAGTTAGTGTCCGGAAAGACGCATCATCTCATCGGTCAGGTAGTTTAGAATTTTGTTCGTGAACTTGAATAGTAAAGTAGCCAAACAATTTTCTTAACAAATTTATTAGAAACTATGGGACTGTAGCAGGCGTTTACTTTGCATTTTGGTTTAGTGAAGAGAAAATCACCATAGTTACTGATCATTTCGTCATGATAATCACAGAGAAAGATCTTCAGATGCTCAACTCTCTTCCAGCGCTAGAGCCGGATTCAGGAAAGAAGGGAGGAAACGAACTGAAAATAGGTGAATTTTACTATTAGCTTTTCACTCGGTAAAGGTGTCGTAAATCAATATTTTGCATGTTCAATACAATAACTTATGAAATGAAATTGAAAAAGTTTTTGTTTACTATTTTATAAAGCTAGTATAACATTTCGCTATTTTTGCTGTAAAATACTTCCGAAAGCTAAATTTTCACGGTTATCATGTTGTCAATAATAACTTTGTCATTGCATGACACTTGTAGTGATGCTTTTTATTATTTAATAAAATAATTTAATCTTACAACAAAAGTGGACAAATGTTTCTCAGTGCATGTTACTGTCTATTTAGTTATCCCATCTCTCTCTCTCTCACTATGTGTGTGTGTATTTATGTATATATATATATGGATAGATAGATATATATGGATAGATAGATAGCGAGAGAAAGAGAGAGAGAGAGTTTGGAGTTTACTTTGAGAAATATAGGTTTCATAAACAATGCTAAACTTTTACATTTAGTAGTCATGTATTACTAGAGAACTTACTATGAGATAAACCCTAAAACGCCTGATGTCGTTCAATAGCACGAGCAGCTTGCATAGGATAGGCACGCGCAGTTATAGTACACGCAGACATATCTGTTCGAAGCAGTCAAGGTCAGTAACCAGGCGTTCGTTCGCTAGTGCTTGTGAATCTTTCAGTGGTGTGCCGTTTACGGTGAAAAAAAAAGATCATTTTTTATAAAATATTTACGTTTTTTTCCATCGTTTTTATCCAAATTCTCATCCACTTTGTGTTAATTTTATCTAACCTTGTGACGGTTATTACAGTTTGAGTTTAATGCATGCTCCTTGTCAGTGCAGAAAATAAGAACAAGATGGTACAGCCATTAATATTGTATTAATAATTAAATATTTGGGTTTACTTTAACACGGCTGTTTATCCAATGTTAAATTTGAATAAAACTTATGCTAAATATAATTTTTCAACAACAACAAAAAATAATTTCATAAAATGTGCATATCAAGGATACCCTGAAAAATAAAAGCTGAGAACGTTCTGTAGTGTAAGGTTAGATATCTCAAAATAATATTTGAAAATGAATTCGCATATATTCAGAAAAAAATAACGAGAGAAACGTAAATGAAGTGAAACGTGTAATTCGGTGTTTATTATACTTATTTCGGTTTTCCAGAGCTGTAACATTCTCTTTTTATTATTACCATTGTTGTTGTTCATTTAACATCATTAAACAAAACCAATTAAACATATTTTAGTTTTAGGTGTAAAACATTTTCTTCTTTAGATGCAAATTTATTATGTCGGAACTTTCGTGAAAAATAATTTCTGGATGTATTTTCAGACTTTTGTTTTATACCAGTAAACGCAATATTTTTTTCTAAAAAAAAAGATTGTCATAGTAAATGAATAATAAATACAACAAATGAAGAGGTATTATGTTTCTCAGTTAACAATATTAGTTTTCGTTTTAAGAATACCTAAAAACTAATTGTAACGTTGATATGAACGAGATGTATTTCTATATTAAGATTCGACAGATTACATCAACTGTTTATTTTCTTAAATGTCATACTTATAGAATTATTTTACATCTTCACGCCATCTTAAAGTGATCTGTTCGAATCGCCAAAGGTTAATGAATAATATAATAGATCCTAATACGATTATTGGTTGGTGTTATTGTATGTGTTTCTTAGGAAAATGCATATTTATGTTGTATCATGCAGCATTTTGATTACATCCACGTTATTTTAGTTGCGTTTACGCTAAATATAGAATTTTAATTGCTTTTTTGAACAGTAGACTTTAAGAGTTGAAAAACGTTAATTAATAATAATAGATAATTATGATTCTCTGTCATAGATTTTGATGGCACTACTGTACTATGTCGTGTATGTGGAGATAAAGCAAGCGGTTTCCATTATGGCGTTCACTCCTGTGAAGGGTGTAAGGTGGGTTATTTTATTAATAATTTGTCGGGATAATAATTAGTCTTCTGGGTCATTCTAATCATATTTTAAGTTATAATTAAAAGCTTGTTTTTGTTTGCTCGTTAAAAACAGCATTGATCTTATAACCCTATTGGGCAATTAATGGAGAGAGTGAATTTTAAACAGTGGGTTGAAACCGTTTTAACAGTTACATAGGTTTACCCCCATTTGAACAAGTTGGCTGTGTCCTCCTTTTCAATTGTATGACATTATTATCATAGTTTCTAACACTTAAGAAAATTTGGGGATATAAAAGTTTTTTTGTTGTTTGTCAGCTTTTTTTTATATAATACGGAATCAGCTGAGAAGTGAAGTTAATTGTATTTGTAGGACCAATAAATTGTAAAATCTAGTGTATGGAAGTATTTGAGTTCTAAATTCTCTTCTGTTTTGGATCATTGTTTTTCTCAAAAGATGCGTAAACCTGAACTGAGTTGGAGTTGTGCAATTTTTTGACAGTCTTAATCTCCTTCGAGGGTATATGTCCACTGATTCAAAGAAAAAATAAGGATATGACGATGGTTTATTTTGTAAACTTTTCTACTTTTATCGAAATCTAGCGCTTATATAATGTACGAATGTGACTTAATTTGCTATTGTCAGAATAACTTTTATTTATAGTTGTAACCTAAGCCTGACAGCTACTATGAAAAACTGTGTTTGTTTTGGTAATCATAATAACATCTTCTGACCCAGGTTACACTGTCGAAGATGTGTCCCTTGGTTTTGAAACTCGCTTTCGTTAGTGCATGGGGTCAATGACCATGACAGGTTTCTGAACAGTGTGTAGCATGTTGCCAAACTGGTACATATTTAGAAATTTCTGTCTTTGTTTTTTAGCGTGTTCGGGTTAACAACCTGAGTGTCGCATCTTCGTAATAACCTAACCTTGGACTAAATACACTTACATACCTAAAACCACATTTCCCTGGATACCTTAACCAATCTAGCCAGTGTACAAATCCTCCAGTCTTAGTTCAGGTGAATAACACCATTAACAAGATCATTCTCATTGGTCAATGCCCGAAGACGTTGAAAGTAAACGGCCAGGAATTTCAAGTTCAGGGTTGCTTTATACGAGTTGAATAACCGGTCGTTTACTTCCGTTTACGCTCTCATGATCGCAGTGTTTTACGCAGAATTTTTATAGGTCATGGGCATGACGCTTAGAATCTTCCTCACAATATCGGCGCGTACTTATGATAGGTGTGAACGGAAGGAATGACAAGATACACTCCGGTAGTTAACACGTGTATATGCAGTTAGGGTTAGGGTGTGAATATCGAAGACGGATTTTTGATGAGTTAGCATACCACACTACGAGGTTTCAAATCCTAAATGGAATACAGTTGAGTTTCCTTTCGTGACAGTACCTCCAAACAGAGATCCTATCAGTGAAGTTATTTATATTCTATTCTTATCGAACAGCAAAATTTACTGTTTGTGCCTAATAACATATACGTTCAGCACTCGCGTGGTAACCGGGGTAAACACTACAACTTTTTTTCTGTTTGCTCTAAACATCTTTTAACAATTTAATGACATCCTAAACAGAAAAATCCAGCATTACGGACCTAACATTTGGTCAGATATTGAAAACGTCGAATTGTTTAGGCACGTCTCTGAGCCATTTATGTGCACTCGGAAGAAAATTATATATATATATATATATTACTTAAATGACCAGACACGTGATTTATACAAACGAAACAATTGTGAGTTAAAAGTTTGGAGACTGTATAATAATAGTGTCAAGTGTTTAGGCTTAAATAAACAACACATTTTATTATGTACAGCAATTTAGAAAGTTATTTATTGCAAACATAAAATCTAACTTTTTTTTTCTTTCTTAAAAGCTGAAATTCAAAGATGATTAGGAAACTCAGTTGGGCGTGGGGTGATACAAATTTTGAGATCCTGCTAAGGTGTTAGATTAAGTTTCCGTTCGATTTTCCAAAATGAAAGATTATTTGCAATTTTGAATACAGAAAATTTCGTTGTATTAAAGTTTCAATTTTCAAATATCAGAAGAACAAAAAAACTGAAACCTCTGATTTAAAATTGTGTACTTTTATTTATTATAAAAAATGCAAATCAATGCATATTTTTTACGATTCTTGAAAACGTTGCTGGCATTTTTCGAATATACAAGAATGTAGATCGCAATAAATCATGATAAACTAAGGTCTCGTATATCATTCAGAAATAGAGATTTTGCCCAGGAATGAGTTGTCTCGAGCTAGAGCGCTGTCCACCTCTCTGTAACTTATTCGAACAATATTTCAGAAAGCTAACTATAGCAATTATAAACCGTACAATTAAAATTGCTTTATTAACTAAACATATTTTTTTCCTAAACCTATGGTTTTCTTAATGGTTATTATGGGGCAATATCATTAAAGCAATCTGAGCACTAAATTACAAATCGGGTATTAATTAAGAATAATTACTAATATTACATCCATTATTTTGGATATTGGGAGTTGTCTAAAATAATGCTGACTATTGTATGCGCTTTTAAACATACATCGGTTAAATTACAATTGCCCTAAAATTGTGTCGTAAGATCTCGTAAGTATCACAGTTAAACTTGGTTTATATGGTTTTAACAATACCCGAATCGGTTTGTTACTTGCCTAAAGTGACAGTGTTACCTGTTGACCTGTTATGTTTAGCAGAGCATCTTGTTCCCTAGGTTCAACGGCCTCTAGTAACCTAGCTCTCTCTCGTTGGGGTGAATGACCGAACGACACAAGCTCGCTCATTCTAGGCCACATTACAAAATGGCATACACGTGTATGATCGGAATCGTTCTACCAATGTGCGCATACTCTGAACTTGAAGTATTTTTTAGACCCGTGAATGACGTCATGAACTACTTTTACTTTCTTTAAAACTATGTCAACGATAGCGGTCAACGACCGCGTGCTCTCGTGCACTGAAGTGGGAGGGAGAGCATAGGCTTAAATGTATGCCTCCTGACGTAAAATAACACCATTAGCTGAGTAGACTATGATAAACAACCTTATTGAGGTCACCTGAATTTCGTAGGGTTATTCGGCGCTTGTTTAAACGGGAAAGTCCTCATTTCTTGTTTAGCCCGGTGGAGGGAACACACGCTTTTGCGGCTCTTCGCAAAATTAAGAACCGGCTTCAAATGTTTCTGGTTTCCATTTCGCATTTTGACTGCATAAATGAGTTGGTGATTAGTTCAATCTTGGTTGCATAGGATACAATATATACATATTTATAAAATATCTGTAAGCGTCTCTACGTCTTTGACTGTGATAACAGTTATCACCCTTTTAAACGTTTCTGGCTATTTGTTAAAGTGAATGTGCAATGGCTGTCGTATACTCGCTCATCAGAACAGGCAGAACACTAAAACTAGTTCGTCGTCGTTCTTACAAACAGGGTTTTTTTCGGAGAAGCATACAACAGAAGATCCAGTACAGACCCTGCAGCAAAAACCAACAGTGCTCTATCCTTCGGATCAACCGGAATCGGTGCCAGTACTGTCGGCTAAAGAAGTGCATCGCTGTCGGCATGTCCCGTGATGGTAGGTAACTTTTGGTTTTCATTTAGTTCTTAGAGTATACAGAGTCGGCATTAGCAGGGCACTATAGGCAAGATACAAAATGTCGAGATCTTCATAGTATTTGGCACTAACAAAAACTGGAAACCATAACAAAACGATATGGTAAGTTCGTTAATGGATGGGCCGTATGATTTTTGGAGCTTAATCTTTAAGAATCACGCAAAAAAAAGGATCTATACAGGTCCCCCTATAGCGAAGGGTCTTAAACGGCCCCTTACTTCACCTAAGGCCGGCTCTGCAACTATACGCAATATATCATAAATAATATTCAACGTTAAACTGGTACACAATTAAAAACATTTTATTTAGGCCTATCTATGGCCTTCAAAAAGTTGACGACTCTGCATGTTTCGGCGTTACAACTCCTGAGGATGACGTTGTGACGAGTCGTGGGAGGCAAGGCACACAGGGGGATAGG